AGTAGTACTCAATTTATACGTGATAGAGTTTAACTAATTAGGTGTTGAGAATGGTTATAAGATATTTCATTTGCATGTGCTTATGAGAGATAAACACAAACAATAGAAAGAAGATAAGTTTTCAAGAGGCCAACTCGTACACGTCATCTATGGATGACGTCTTGTGCAGCAGTGGACTTGTGACATGATGAGTTGACAATATAATCCGGTCGATATTTACTTAAAGTTTTCAAGAGGCCAACTCGTACATGTCATCTATGGATGAAGTCTTGTGCAGCAGTGGACTTGTGACATGATGAGTTGACAATATAATCCGGTCGATATTTACTTAAAGTTTTCAAGAGGCCAACTCGTACACGTCATCTATGGATTAAGTCTTGTGCAGCAGTGGACTTGTGACATGATGAGTTGACAATATAATCCGGTCGATATTTACTTAAAGTTTTCAAGAGGCCAACTCGTACACGTCATCTATGGATTAAGTGTTGTGCAGCAGTGGACTTGTGACATGATGAGTTGACAATATAATCCGGTCGATATTTACTTAAAGTTTTCAAGAGGCCAACTCGTACACGTCATCTATGGATGAAGTCTTGTGCAGCAGTGGACTTGTGACATGATGAGTTGACAATATAATCCGGTCGATATTTACTTAAAGTTTTCAAGAGGCCAACTCGTACACGTCATCTATGGATTAAGTCTTGTGCAGCAGTGGACATGTGACATGATGAGTTGACAATATAATCCGGTCAATATTTACTTAAAGTTTTCAAGAGGCCAACTCGTACACGTCATCTATGGATTAAGTCTTGTGCAGCAGTGGACTTGTGACATGATGAGTTGACAATATAATCCGGTCGATATTTACTTAAAGGGGAATCTTTAAAATGAAACCGTTCGAAGAAGAATTTAATAGACGTTATAAATGTGGTTGCTAAATAGATTTATATAAAGAATTAGGTTTTAGAAGAAACCTAAATCTTTACAAGAAGAAAAAAGTTTCAATAGAGCCTATTGAAAAAAACTTATTTAATAAACTCTGGGAATAATTTGCATGCCTTGATTTATCCTTTTGTCTTTCTGTATGTTCAGCCAAATACTTGCAATGGTTCAACGTGTTGTGATATAACTTCACGAACAGATAGAAAGTAAACGTTTTATCCGAAAAAGTGGAGTGTGGTCGATGAAATAATGTACGGTAGAGTCACGCTGCAGCTTTGTCATGGTTGTAGCACGAATGAGTCGGTTTTATAGATTTTTTTATAAAGAAGGCAAGTGGATAAAGGTATTTAACCTTCATCTATCCTCGATTAATAATTAAAAGGTTGAAGCCCAGGCTACCAGTATTTTATACTGATATTTTGTGAGAGCCTGATCCTTCCCAGGTCAAACCTTTCTTTAATAAATTGAAATAGGATATAATATTTTAATCTCAAACAAAGCCATCGAAATGTATTTTGGAATTACAACACCGAATCAACGGTTTAATGTGTGTTTAAACATTTGCATTGCACTAGCGTACATGCGGGACTGCAAATAATGGACCAATTTACAAAATGTAATTATGATCCCTATTCAATAAGTATAAAATATAGAATTACTTCAAGCACATGATAGAAGAGATACTTTACGGTTAAATAGTTTGCACATATAATTGAAAGCGGCGGATTATTAAATGTGTACTTATTTCGGTAAGTTTAATTTTATGTACGACGTGAGGTAGCAACGTCATCCTGTGGATATTGTAACAGAAGAAGAAGATTCCAATGGATGGCAATATAAGCAACCCATTTACGCAAGACGATAAGATACATAGACCGGCGACAGCAGCAGAGTCCAAGGTGCTCACTTCTGGTACTGTGGTCGTCCATCCACCTGCCCAGCGTTCTAATTATATAAATGGCAAATCTTCCACACATCGAAGAGGTCCTGTCCATGACTTTTACGATCTAATGAACAAGTAGATGAATCCTAATATAAGATAATAAGAAGGAACATCATTTGTTTACAATACTTAACACGATTATTTCAGTAGCAAATAAATTTAAATTAAAATAATTATTTGTTATTAAGTTGTATAAAGGTCTTAGGCAAACGTAAAAATATATGTTTTAAGTACTTGCTACTTAAGCTTATTGGTGACTGAAATCTGGTTAAATCCAATCTCATCGGTCTCGAACGCAGGCGCAAAGTAGCCAGCCTTTCGGTTTTCTACAGTATGTATTTGGGAGAGTGCGTCTGCGTGCATTACTTAATTACTTCCTCTCCCTCACCATCGGACAACCAGAAGCTTGGCCTCTCTTTCGTTGTCGACTTACCACGCATTCAACCCCCGCATTGTTCATAATGCGTACAGCAAAGGAGTGGAGTAAGTTGCAGCATCGGACTTATATCCGATTATAACATTGGTGTGTCTTTAAGGCAAGACTTAACAGGCTTTTATTAAGTCAGTGCGCTTTACCATCTCTAGCTGCATCATCACTGACCACCAGGTGGGATAGCAATTAAGCGCTGGCTTTTATTTAAAAAAAGAGGCCCATTTTGAGTTATATGAAATTTGAGAGGAATTATAAACAACATATTCTTTAAACAAATATTTACATATCTTACAACAAGTAAATAGCATTATAAAGAAAAAATATATGAATACTTACTACTACAATATACTTTTTTTTAAACTCAACAACAAAAACCGATTTATCAAATTACTTGTGCACTATAGTAACTAAATGATAAATAATTGTTATGCATTTCGTCTTTGTTTCAAAGAGTAGTTTAGACAACCCAACTGCAGTTTAGTTTTTTTACATAATATTCTTCGCATCTATTTTTAAGATAGATTTAGGTATCTATGGGTCACAGTGTAACTCTCACCATCCATTGTGTGCTCATTAGACACCCTCACTATTAATTTGAAAAACAATGCATTACGCGTAATTACTCCACTTGCACTATCAATGTGTAAGAACTACTACTACATTAACTTTGATACAATTTTTAGGTCGCTTCTAATCCTTCGATACGCGAAGGTTCCAGTTCTGCGGTACAATGCAGTAGCAGCGGCTGTTGGAACTTTGCCAAGGACCGAGAGTGATAACGAAAATCTGGGCTCAGCGTAAACAAAGTGGAGCAATTTGGTCGCTGCAGTTCATGTAATTTTCAATAGCTTAAAAATATATATTTTTATTTCTTATTGAAAATCGTTAACGTGATAGAACCACGCTGCAGCTATATTTGACCATTTTTACTACTTTATTACTTTTACTACTTGAACTCATGAGTGAATCGCGTTTTAGGCATAAATCACGGTGTACGGTATAATGTCATATCTGATTAATTATTCTATATCGTTCCTACTACACAAGACCACGCACTGTCGCAAATTACATTTGTCTCTTTTACGCTTGCGAAAGTTTTATCATGTCATCCTACTTTGACGTCTAATCGTAATGTAGTGTGCTATTACAATATTTAGTTATTTATGTGTGCGTTAGTGTGCCGTTTTTGAAGATCGAATATTGTGTAGGTAACCTATCATAGAGGAAAGTAATATATCGTACATAGAGAACCCACTCGTGGAATTTATTGAAAACCGCAAATGTCAATTGATGTGATAAATAGCGCCATCTATTATCGCCATCCATAAACTTAACATCTATAGCTATAGCTGGCTATAGGTACTATATAGGCAGTAGTAGCTTTTCCTTCATCCTTACTTATTTACTTGTATTCAAGTTGATAAAGTTTTACTTGATTTTATTTAACAAAATCTTAGTAAAACTTTATCAAATTAAAAACAAGCCATTTAGTAAGGACGCATCAATTTCAAAAAGGTTATTGGATAAACAAAAAAAAACTACTTTTATTTTACAATATTATTTATTTATTTACCTTGTGTTTATTATTATAAGCTTGGGCTGCTGCTTTAGTTTCATCCTCACCATGGTATTTGATTTTACCAGACAAAATCCGGTTTATTGAACGGCACCAACTATATATAAGCACATGAATAATTGTGTTTTCAAAATAATTTCGTAATATTTTTTGATGTTTTTCACAACTAAATGGAAAGTCAACAAATATGTCGGTAAACATTTTTATTTTACTTTTTAAACCCATTTTTTGGAACATCTTTTTTTTAGTATGTCTGTCACTAAATTTTGAATTTGGACAAAACATTTTTCCATTCCTTCAGATGGGTATATTAAAGAATGTTTACCTTTTTTATATTCTTTTGCCCGTATATAATCATTGGATTTGCTTTCAGGTCTGCCATACATATCTTTTTTACATACTTTGCAGCTTTTTGAAACATTTTTTATGCATTTCCCAAGGACCCACCCACACACATAATTGCCCTGACCAGCATCATTTATACTGGTATTTAAATTGATGAAAGGCACTACAATTTCGTCTTCTATGCTTTCAGAAAATTGTAGTGTTTCCTCATAAATGGGACTAGGAATATCAGAAGTCGACGCGATATTTTCTCTTACAAAAAAAATCTAGATTCTGCAAGCAGCTATCGTCGTCTTTTTCGCAGTTTGCATGCAGAGAATGGGGCGAGTTAAAATTATTAATTAAAAGGGACTTAAAGGCCCCTTCAAACGCAACCGTGTCTGGTGCAGTATTTCTCGCCCCATAACTTCTGATATTCCCAAAGAAATTCTCTAGTGGGTCCTGGTTGAAATTACGTGTTAGCATAGCATCAAATGAATATGTTTGGGACAGCAATATCCATAATTTTTGCATTCCTTTAATTGTACGTATGAAGTTTTTTATAGATGGTATAGCTTTTGTTTCAATCAAACGGATTTTGTTATTTTTGTCCTTAATTTTTTTAATAAATGTTACAGTTTTCAAAACTTTTATGGCATTCTTCCACAAATCATGGTGTGGACTAGATCGTCTAACACATCCTTTATATATTTTGCCATCAGGCACATGAAATGTGTTAGAATTTAAAGAATCAAAAAGATTGTCTATTAATTTTGTAAATTTTACCACATAAATATGCATTTATTAAGGCCCGGCTTCACTTCTATTTTGGTCAAAAGTCTTTTTAATGATTTAGTTGAAGGCAATGTGAAATATTTTGCCAAAAGAGGGTAGCTTCTTGGACTCTTTTTATATAAAGAAAGCGAGAGCACTTTTTCTTCGAGAGAGAATCTGCGACCATGAGGCCTCTTGCTTGTCTGGGTGTACTGCATTTTTGTGAAAATTTTTGCTGCTACGGTCATTTTGTTCGTCAGTTTTTTAAATAAAATATCTGTAGACATTTTTTCAGCATTGGCTATTCTGGATTGAAAGGTTTTGTTTTTCTTTTGTGATCTGATCAAGTTTGATTGCAAAACTTTAATTTTTCTTCTTGTTGTTTTAAGCTGGTTCAACCAGAATGACGGCCACTCCTGCTGCTGATAATTATCTGTAAAAAATTTGATTTGCATAATTTTTGGATATGTGAATGAATATGTGAAGCCATTTTTTTAATAGGATAGGGAGACAAACGAGCACACAGTCCACCTGATGGTAAATGGTTGTTGTGGCCAAGAGACATCTACATCTATCCTCAACTACGAATCAAAATGCAGACGCATTGTTAGCTGTGAGGACTAAGATGTAATGTCTCATTACCAGTAAATAGGGTATCCGGTTCTCAACGCTCACCACACAAAACACAGCAGCAGTCAGTTACTATTTTACGCTGGTATTCTGTGAGAGTATGGTCCTTCCCCAGTCGAGCTGAGCCATTCATGCTACAACTATACTCTAATATAACTGCAACATGACTCTACTACGTAAAGTAAATTTTTTTGGCAATGGAAACAATAGACAATATTGTTGCCTTCCGAAGGAGCCTATTTTTATCTCAGAAAGACTAAAAGTTTGAGAGATATGATATTTTTGTACACATGTAGATAATATGTCAAGAAAAAACAATAGGGCTGTCACATAGAGGGGAAGAGGATTAGAACTGTGTGTAGTGTATGTGTGTATTAAAAATGTTGTAATATACGTATTAAGTAATAAGACAAAAGAAGTCGCATAGACGCGTGACCTTGTCGCTGCTATGATGTGTTGACGAACATCATTCACCATTTTGTGATTAAGTTGCGCGGGGAACGTCGTCCATGAATTTATGTTACTATAAATTTATAATGGTGAACTGCAGCATAATCAGTTGTAAAAACTCATCAAGGATGTGTAATTCAACTAATAAAGGCATAACATTTCATCAGTAAGTTGATAGTTTACTAATTTTCATTGTTTTAACTAATTTAGATCTAGACGAATACTTTACTATGATATTTACCTTTGTAAACTCTCACATTAGTACATACTTATTAGTTTTCGTATTGTACAATTAACATTGCTGCTTTTTTTGCATTGACAAACTCACCAAGCAATGTAATGTGAAACATTAGATATCATTGTGCATTGTGCGTATGTTTATAATACGGTAAGATGTGGCGACATCGGTTATGGAAGTAATCGAGCGCTAATTCATTTCTATTGTCTTATTATTACTATTTCTGTGCACCGTATGTATTTATTTATATGTCATTAGCTTTTACAAAATTATGGCCAATTACTATCCATTTGATTTTTAGTCGGGATTGGGGATTTCGGATGTTTTTTAGGAAAACACCATAGTGCTTTTCTTAAAAGTGCACTCTGTTTCCTAATCCCCTAAATATCTAAAAAACTTACTATTGTTTTTATGTATCGCCTTCTTCTGCAGTCGGCAATAATTGTGTTCTGAATTGATTCTGGCAGAGTTATCTGTAATAAGAAAGAAAAATTCATGAGAAATATTGATTTTGTTAGTGTGTTATTTTTAGATTTAATTTAGTCCAACTTTATGTATATAAATTTACCAACAACATGAATGTAATAAATATTTGGAATTAATATGTCAGTACCTGTCGTTGTCAGTTTTAATGTAGCAAGGCTGCTTTCTTCATTCACAGGTTCAGGTACAAGTAAAACTTTCTCTGAAGTAACAACTTCATCAGATTTGCCTGAAACATAAGATATATGTTTTAAGTCTAATGCTGAGCACAGAAACATAGGAAGATGGTGTCATAAAACACCATGCAGATCGGCTCGACATTTTATAGTCATGTAGCGCTGCACCAAGCTGTTCAATGTTGTCGTTTTATTTATCATTGAAAATGTAATTTAGACTAGATTCTATTTAGTCTAAATTACATTTTCAATGATGATGAATTTAACTGTATTGAGCCCAATAACTATAACATTTAGAGTATATTTTATTAGGTTAGGCCCAAAATTTTATAATGATACAATTGTATTTAATTTGTTATAACAAGTAACTATATAACTGATGGGCGATAAGTATATAATATACACCATATAATATTTGTAAATAGCTTTTCTAAACGTGCAAAATAAAGTTTGATTAAGGCATTTAGTTTTTTAAAAATACTCTTGCTCAAGCATGTGGATTTAAATGTGCCAGTACTTATCTTTAATATACCTAAAACTGTGCTATGACTTAGGACTTACAACTAATCTATAGTTTATATCGAAGTGAAATGCTACACTTAGAAAGGCAATGATAACACCTACTCTTTAGGTTTTAAAGTTATTGGTTCAAATTGCCTTTAATTTTTTACATAAATGATCATTTAATTTTAATCTTGTTTGTATGAAGGTGACACTGAAAGTTTTTGGAACTGGCCACTTGTAAACACTATATAATAAAAAAGTAAGTTCAAATTTTGAAAATTGAACTATTTGCCAATATTATTGTGTATGTATTTTATTAACTTTCTACACCTTTTTACTTATAATATCATTGTTTTTCATTCTATTGGAACTTACGTCGTCTTTTTAATTATTTTACAAAGCGGCTTTATGCTCGTGCTATAGTTTGGAATAAACCTTCTATAAAAATTACTAAAACCTAAAAAGGCCCTCAATTGCTTAATCTTTTTTGGTTGCTGGACACTCTTGAATTGTCCGAATCTTATCAGGACCTATCTTTATGCCTTCTGGTGAAATTATGAAACCTAAAATCTTAATTTCTTTACAAAAAAAATCACATTTTTGCAAGTTGTACTTTGAACCAGGCGACAAGCGACGCCAAATAAAAAATAGTGAGGAAAAACAAATGAATGACTGTTTTCAAAACTCAAATATACCAGTTAAATGAATTCATAAATTTAAATTTGGAATTCTTAACCAAAGGAGGAAGGACCCTATATATATATATATATATATATATATATATATACAGAATTTTAAAGTCCACTGCTGAACATAGGCCTCCCCATTGATTGCCTCATATTTGGCATCATTGATTTTTAATAACTCAATGTTTGGCATAGTTTCCACGATCTATCAGGCACGGTTTCCCGATCACGGAATCGAAGAAGCAGGTTATATATATATATATATATATATATATATATATATATATATATATATATATATATATATATATATATATAATCCCGATCACGGAATCGAAGAAGCAGGTTATATATATATATATATATATATAACCTGCTTCTTCGATTCCGTGATCGGGAAACCGTGCCTGATAGATCGTGGAAACTATGCCAAACATTGAGTTATTAAAAATCAATGATGCCAAATATGAGGCAATCAATGGGGAGGCCTATGTTCAGCAGTGGACTTAAAATTCTGTAACGGTTAATGGTTAAAAGGAATAAATATATTTACTGGTCCAATACAAACATTTAGCTGATAGCAGCAAGCAAAGTAATTATTTACATAGATATTATGCGTCCTTCGTATCTCGTTAATAATGAAACCTTATGATATTTATGATACTTCTAGCGCCATCTGTGTAAAATTATTGTAGTTAATTTATTATTGTAGTAAAATAAAAATGATATTTAGAAAAGAACGGGTAGGAATAATATAAAAAAAAAAACTCAAAATCGGGTAACGTAATTTTTCAATTTTTACGACAATGCAAATCTTAAACCTTTTGGATGTGCAAAAGGGAAGTATAATATGTTCAGTGCCAAGCTTCTATATGATTGATATGATCCTTGCTGAAACCAAAAAAAAAATTGTTAACAGCCCTTTCAAATTTTGATTTACCATGTTGTAGGTACTCGGCGGTTAAGAAAAAAATTATAAGCACACCTTAAAAAATTCATAAATAATGTGTACAACACCTTCTATTGATGACGTTGAGTAACTATTGTATTTTTTTAAAGTAAGATATTAGGATTTATGTATTTTTTTATAAATATTTATTATGTTATTCTTTATTATTTTTGTTTTCTGCTTTTAGATTCAATTATATCATTAAAGATCACTATTTTACATTATTAAATTACAAAAATGTCCGCAATCACTGAACGCCACTATTGAACCAACTCGTACCTATATTTCGTACCCATACTTCAGAATATTAATCATAAATTTTGATAGGATGAACCGATTTTAATAAAACAAAGACTTAATTTAAAAAAAGATATGCTTCATAATTAATCTAACGATTACTTTGATATAAATCAGTACTTTATATATGATACGTTAACAAACAAACAGACAGACATAATGACAGATAATTCTAAAAATGATAGAAATGTATTTAGTTACCTATTTTTAGTCTCTCTCAACCAAATTTGTTAAAAAAATATAAAATGTACAGACTGATCTGAGAGATCTGCAATTTACATTTTTATTATATGTATAGATTATACAAGCTCTGTGTCTACTGCCTTTGGTATTGACTAGGATTTTACCGGCAGCCGAAAATCATAATCCTGGGATACTAACCGTACTAACTATACGCGAAATTAACTATATACTAAATATATTCAAAATTCTTGACGCAAACACAACATTGTCATCTTTTTATTATAAAGAAATGAGTGCTCTAATCAGTCACAACTTTGTTAATAAGTTTTATCGCGGTACGATATTAAAACAATTCAACTCATTACAAGCACTTTTTCTACAATTCTAACGAGGACTCTTCAATACAAATCAAATAAAAGAGGCGTCGTTCAGGCGGACACAATCACACAGAATACAATGTCTTTGTTAATAGTTCGATCTTATTTGAAATAAGAATCGACACTTCATACGATCCAATTTACCAGAAGAAAGCGACTTCATAAATCGTAAATTTACTGCATAAAAATAAAAAATCAAAGTTTTCGAAAACCTATGACTATGTAAAAATTTTACATTATTTTAACTTATTTTAAGTCAGTGATTTAGTACAACCTGTACTGTTGGTAAGTGGTGATGAAGTTTTAGGTACTTAATCGCACTTTTAGCGTAACAAGAGCCTATTTACTCTTGCTTTAAAGATGCCAAAATAACCCTCATTATAATGGGACGAAAAACCAGTTTTCGGCATATTATTCTACCCTGTTACTGTACGCATTACGAAAGATAAAGCACCGCCTGCTACCTGGTTATTCAATGGTGGAAAGGGGAGAGAAGTATTAAGGCATGCAATTCGTGTACACACTTTCCGAAATGCATCCTCTATAATACTTAAAAGCTTACTACTTATTTATGTACATTCTCGAAAACAATTTTTATATAGGAAGCTTCCTTTTTTTATAAAAATGAAATAATAAATGATAATAAATTACAGATCATTTGCACTCATAGCACGAAATGAAGACCTTTTACAAATGTTAAAACAAATAGAGTTACAGTTAAGTTAGTATCAAGCTAATTTGTAATAATTTTGCTCAAAATTTATGTTGTGATATCGTGATATAAGTACTTAGGAAACGTTATTTATTACGTTTTATATCCTCGTAGGACACGTACAAATTGATTGACTATGATCAGACAAATCATGAGACAGATTATTCATTGTCTATTGCAGTCATGAATACCTGTAGCTAACTTCAAACAAACAAGACTACGGATGCCACAGCACTACGAACACCACAGTTTGCGGCAGAAATAAGTGGCACCTAGCCTGTAGGTCTATTACTTTCAATTTTTGTGACGTTTGAAACAAAATATGGGGAACAGCATTGTTCTGAAAACTACCAAAGATAATAAAAATTGCAATTGACAACCCGACTGCCAACTTGTCAGCCATTTTAAAATTCTCCTACGAGTCAGTCATGAGGGGGAGATCAAGGTTAGTCAATTTTTCCCATCCATCAAGTGAAATATCCCTCTACAAGATGCAGGAGTGTATAAACTAGAATGTGAATGTAGTCGCTCTTCCATACGACAAACAAAAAAGATCTATAATAACCCGCATGAAAAAACATATAGCTGACGTGAAGCACCGACGCTCCTAGAAGTACGCAATCTGTGAACATGTTTCAAGATCCTCCCCACCATTACATTATATTTGATGGACCACAAATCCCCGCAAAAGAACACCGATTCTTATCAAGGATGATACGCGAGGCTATTGAAATTAAAAAACATCATAATTTCAAAAGAGAAGATAGGTGCTGCTATCCGCTTTGGATCCTATAATTAATTAGATCAAACCTGAAATTAATATTCAAAAAACTGAAGGTAGCCGGGCTAACTATGATATTGGGACGTCAAACATCTCAGCCCCCCCCCCTTCGTTACTATGGGTACTGTAAAGCACGCGAAACGTTGAGAATTAAAAATAAGTTAATTAAACTCGAAAAAATCCGTACAAATAGTTTTAGTTATGTATTATGTGTTCCCTGAAGCAAATAGTTAACCTCCATTTTCGAACATAGAACCATGCTGCAAATATATTATGGTTTGCACAAATAGGTCTAATTCACTGGCGAAGGGCTATGCTTTCACAGAATATCAGCGTGAAATAGCAGAATAATGCTGTGTTTTTTTAAGCTATTGCATAGCTTCTATCGCGGGCCTTGAGTGCGGGAAAATCCAGAAATTCCGTAACGAAAAAAACCTACGCTCTCCGACGGGCACGGAGGTGTGGCTTGAAGGCCGTGCATTGTCTAACGATGGTCTAACGTCGTTTCTTTACCTCAGTCTTCGACACGGTGTTTGTGTATAAAGTGTTTTGAAAGTTTGAATATGAATGAACAAAGTGCATTTATTATTAATGAACAAAATCACGAAAAAAATAGTGAAAGAAAATGAGTAAGTACTCTATATACATACCTACATTTTATTATTGTCACAAATGCAGTACTAATTTTGAATTGAAAATATAATACTGCTATAAAGATAACCTAAATTTTTGATATTAAAATGAGCGATATTAAAAGTAGCCCTCTTTATATACACAAACACACACACACGCGTATAGTTTAAATTCTCAATTTAGATTCTCAATATGTATATATATACTCGATTAACCGAACTAATTGTTGCCGTTAGAGATTCGGATAATCGAAAATCCGGATGATCGAATGTATGAAGAAAATCGGGTTTTGTGCATTTGTAGTACATATGTACATACATAATGTTATGTGTTTATTAAAAACAAAAATTTCAACGAAAATCAATGTTTATTAAGAAATTATTATTTTTTAATAAACATTGATTAAATTCCATGAAGAGATATGAATCTATATAACCATCCGTTACTTGCGACAAACGAGCCGCCGTCACCTAATTTTTTATTTAACTGTAATGTTTTTTCACAAAGCAAAGGGCCAGATATCATTTGCCCAGTTGATCGTTTTTGTAAAAACCAACAATATAAAGCGTCTTCTAATTGCCAATTTACTCGCGGACATAGGTCCTTATGTCCGGGACGGGGGTTTGTTAGCGCCTGATAGTAGATCGTCTTATCTCAAGCGGTGTGAAGCGACGATTAGTGAGGTGCGGGAGGGGGAGGCTAGCTGCATTTGTGCGCGCGGTCGGTCACGCCCTAAAGTTGGGCGTTATAACATAAAACAGATAATATATTTCATTATATATTTTTAATCTTACAACACATTAGAATAATGAACCATTGACTGTTATAATATTATATTCATTATCGTTAGAAAGCGTCATCTGTTTACGTTTACGGTCCAACAATCCGAGACAATGGGAGTCAATAAAATACTACCTACATTCATTATGCCACAAGGATTGCGTATAGCTTACACTAATTTAAACTCTAAGCTAACTTAATAAGAGCTTATTTTACTAACACTAAATTATAACGGTAAACAAAAATATATTATTTCCTTCATTAGTTGCCTGTTGTGCCTGTTATTTTATTTAATTTGGCTGTTGTAATATATAATATATCAGTTTAGTGTTCAGTTAGCTGTCTAGCTGAGATGACAATGACACTGTTATCTGTTAAATTATATACGTAATGTTTTGATAGCAGGTCCCCATATTACGTGAAAAAGCTATTGTTGTTTTTGTTTATTTTTCGTTAAACAAAACGCGAACACAGCCGACGACTGAACTGAACTAACCGCGTGTACAATGTAATATTTAAAACTGTTATAATATATTATAACAGTTTAAAACAACAGTTAGAAAAATATATTACAACAACATAACGAATTAGAAAAATATAACAGTATCGCCCATCTTTAGTCACCCCTGTTGGCATCGAGCCGAGCTAGGGGAGCAGACGGCGAGCCGGGCTGCACCCGGCCCGCCGCTAGGCGCGCTCTAGCTAGGTACGCGGCGCCTGCGGCGATGACGTTCTCCGGTCGCATTATAGGGGTCGCGAGAGTTTTTTGCGCGTAGCCAGGTTGTTCATATATTGAAAGTCTCCTTGTTTTGTCTTAGACTTATGTTAATAGAGCGTGCCATTTGAACTTAAAGACAATTAATTGGACAATAAATAATAAGTGACAAATCTTGCCGTGGAGCGTGGAACTGAGTAGTTGCGCGTCTTGTTAAAATAATTGCCGTACGGCCGCCCTGACGTATGTACTGCGCGAACCTGAGTTTTTTGCGACGCGGTCCGGTGATACAGTATTTTTCACAAATAGTGAGTTCGTTATAACGCGGGTTCGGTTAAAT